AGCATCCACTGCCTGCAATAATATTAAATAATAGAAGAAGTGTGTGCTTGTAATTTTATATACATTGTATCAAACACAGGATATGGGAGGAGACCATTACAGAGGTAGGGGAGGCATTGCATCTCTTGTGTAGAATCCAGGATGACATAAGAATTGTTTATACAGGCGACAGCATCCTACAGCAGAACTGTCCTAGAGCACCGTTGTCCCAGTGCAGCCAAGTCCGAGCATCCCCCCCCCCCCTGCAATGTCTTGCTGTAGAAGAGGAGGAATGTACCACTTCCTCCCAGTGGGGAGCATGGAAGAAGTATAAATCAGGTGGTACTAGCCTGCAGAGACTGCATGCAGTATGATCACTGTGAGTTGAGGAAGAGCGCGAGAGGAAGGAGGCAGCTTGTCACAGCTGATAGGATGGCTAGAGCCAAGATGAAGAATTCTCCTTCCGAAATCAGCACCAGCTCCAAAATCGTCCCACCAATTACAAGGGAGGACTTGAACGGCGTCAGCCCCCCTGCTACCGGCCCGAATTATGGGCTCCTTGACAAGCGATGCTGGCCAAAGGTACCTATAGATAATTCTACATCTCCAGATTGCATAAATATCACAGCCGTGCCTTGTTAGTGCATGTGCATGTCACCATGGGCTAGAAATACATCATCACTGCAGAGAGGGGGAATCCGACGCAGAGACTGCTGGAAATGCAGCACACAGACATGTCTTTTTACTATTAATTTATATAGAAACAATCCGGACATTAATGGCCGCTGCATTGTACAAATACCCTGAGAATGCATCATTTGGGGTGCAGGGGATGCTGCTTGGGCTGCGGTTTGTATCATGAGCTTCCGCATCCCGGCTGCGAGTATCCAGAGGTTCAGGGCAAGTTTACAAGCAAGGTATACTTTGCGGCTAATAGAAGAAGTTAGATTATTGTAAAAGTACCTTATATAAAGAGGCGATCCACCAAAACGTGATATTTCAGTTTTGGGTGGATGTGGAGGTGTTGGATTAAACACCTCTCCCCTCCACCTGCTGAATTTACTCTTTAAAGATTATGGCAAGCAAGGAATCCAAAGTTGATTAGGGGTCTTTTCCCTATTTGAGTGTTGATTTGTTTAATGTCACAGAGAGTACAGCAAAAGGAGTGAGACTCCAGAGCAGGTGACACAGCCAGAAGGTCCAGTATGATGGTGCCTGTGGACTGCACCTGGAAAAAATAAAAGTTGGCACAGTTGAGTTTAGGTGTGCTTCCAAGAATGAGCAAAGAGGGAACCTCTATCAACCTGTCTGATATCCGCTTTCATTCAGATGGATGAAAGATGATGGCTTACTTTACTTATGAGTTAAAGAGGGCCCCTGACATCACCAAAGACCTGCATGTAATGCTTGATATATGTGATGCTTGAGAGGACTGACAGAAACTGCAGAGCTAATAGAGGAAATGAGGGTCAGACAGTGTGGACATGCTACATATTTAGCTGGGGATATGCTGCAGAAGACAATACCAAACTGGGAACATGTTACATGAGGCTAGTAGAGATCAATGCTATTCAGTGTTCCCTGTACAGACTGTTGAGATCCAAGGGACACACATCACATACCAAAGGGCCACAGATCGGGTACCAGGGCTTTACAGTAATGCCCAACTAAAAAAGCTAGAAGTTGTTAAAATGCAAACATAGCAAAATAAGACCTCTGCCATCCTGGCCCCATTAGTGCCATTCAGCCAGGACCACCTGACCAAATTTCTAGGCATCTGATCATGTGACCAGACCACTCTAGATCCCAGACCACATCTGTAGAATTTTGGCTTTTCTTACCTCTTATACCTGCTCCATAATAAAACAATCGTTTAAGGTCTAAAAGGGATAGGGGGACCCCTCATATAGGGCACAATAGGAGTGCAGGGAAGTCTCACCAACAGAGTCCATGGGAGATAGAACAATACTGTCAGCTGGTTTAAAGCCCAACTCCGGGAAAAGTTAAAGTCCTTCCTTGCAGTGGAACTGTAAGAACTAACTGCTTGTTTCTGTATTGGGGACAGGAAAAGCACCTTTACCTAACTGATCTCCCACTTCTCTGGTAAATGTCGCTCCCCTATGCTCTGGCAGTGGACTCTCCCATGCTGTCCTCACAACTATTGCAGGGCTAGGGCCCCTGCATCGGTCTCGATCACAACTGCCTGATTACAGGGCAGAAGAGTGTGCAGGAGGCAGTCTTAGCAGGGAGTGAAGGATAAAGTAAAGCTGCTTTACCCAGTCATATGGATATATGAGCAGCTAATCCTTGTAACGTGGGCCTGCAGCTGCATCCCCACTGCAAGGAGGAACTTTTACTTTTCCCAGAGTTTGTTTTTAACACTCCAGCATCTATCAAGCTTGAAATGTAAATTTTTGGTGGACTGAACCTAATTCTTTCCTTTTCATCTGCAGTAGCTAGAAAACCCTGATCCATAACTGGCAATGAACTACAAATCCCAGCAGGCTCTAACAGGGAGACATGTTGCATGTTCTTCAGCATCTTTGTACTGTATTTGCTCATTTTGAAGTAATGATCTTTAGGAACCTCCTATCTCGCCCACAAAATGCAAAGCATTCAGGTGTAGCACACTGTTTGCACATTGCATCACCCTTCATTTGCATGTAAAATTGTAGTAATTATATCAGCTCAATGAAGCCGGAGAGCACATGCAGGCCGACAATCAGCGGCGTGTTTATGTGCCGCTTCGTTCTCACAAATTTGTACAATTTAGGTAGCACTTACTTGAAGAAATTTACTTTAAAGGCAGAATTCTCTGAAGGCCTGGCCAAGCTGAACAGATTCTTACAGCGCAGTGAGGAATTTTTGATCAAAAGATTTTGTTCAACTGGATCCCCCGCTGGTCACATTATAAATTTAGTGCAGATCAGAGCGCAATGACATTATGACGTAATACGCAAGAACTGAGTCAGTACAAGATATACGTAACATATCATTCTAGAAACACGCGGGAAGACTTTTTATTCTTAAAGCCCAAGGTCTGATATTTTTTAAGTGTTTTTTTTTTTCTTTTAAATAACAAACCTTATGCAATAACACGGAACTCTAAGGAACACTAAGAATTTTTTCACCCACACTGCATGAGTTGACTGCTCATTTAGGTCTAGGGGACTTGGTAAAGCACTTATACTTTTCCTGTTCCTCTACTCTTTTGCCCCTTAGACGGGTCTCCACAGCCTCTTCTCCTCTATGCTCCGGTGGACTAAGGTCCTCTGACATCAAGACTGATGCAGGGCCCATATCCCCACATTAGGGGTGAGGACAGCGAGGAATAGTCCACCGTAGGTGCATAGGGGAGCGCTGTCTGTTTAAGAAGCAGGGGATCAGGTAAGTAAAAATGCTTTTTCATCCCCTAGACCAGTGGTCTCCAAACTACAGCCCTTTACTTGCCTTTATCCAGGCCCTTGGGACACTATTTCTCTGACTGAAACCAACAAAAAGGCTTAATTCTTACAGACACCAACAATGTGGCACTATTCCTCCCACTGACACCTATGATGAGCACTAATCCTCCTAATGACACCACCAATGAGGCACTCTTCCTCCCACTGACACTACTAATGGGGCACTATTCCTCCCACTGATACCAACAATGGGGCACTATTCCTCCCACTGACACCTATGATGAGCACTAATGCTCCCACTGACACCACCAATGGGGCACTCTTCCTCCCACTGACACCAGCAATGGGGCACTATTCCTCCCACTGACACCAACAATGGGGCACTATTCCTCCCACTGACACCAACAATGGGGCACTAGTCCTCCCACTGAAACCACCAATGGGGCACTATTTCTACCAATGACACCAACAATGGGGCACTATTCCTCCCACTGACACCACCAATGGGGCACTAGTCCTCCCACTGACACCACCAATGGGGCACTATTCCTCCCACTGACACCAACAATGGGGCACTAGTCCTCCCAGTGATACCACCCATAGGTGTTGCCACTGACAACAACAAAAGGGCACTGTTCCTCCCACTGACACCAATGATGGGGCACTATTCCTCCCACTGACACCAACAATGGGACACTATTCATTCCACTGACACCAATGATGGGGCACTATTCCTCCCACTGACACCAATGATGGGGCACTATTCCTCCCACTGACACCAACAATGGGACACTATTCATTCCACTGACACTAATGATGGGGCACTATTCATCCCTCTGACACCAATGATGGGGCACTACTGCTCCCACTAAACATGTGGCACCGTTTACTCCCACATTTTCTACTCCTACTGGCCACAGTCCAGCCCCCCTAAAGTCTGAAGGATCATAAACTGCTCCCTTGTTTAGAAAGTTTGGAGACCTCTGCCCCACTTCATGAAAAGATTGTTAGTTTTCCTGGAGTTGGACTTAAAGGAGTCTTAAGGAGGAAATCATCAGTTCTGCAGTCTGGACTCTACTTACTCTATGTACAGTTTAAGAGATTTCTGACTCCTTGTTGACTTCTTACTTGCCAGTTGTGTTTATTAACCACTTACCCTCCAGAGGATTTACCCCCCTTCCTGACCAGGCCATTGTTTGCATTATGGTGCTGCATTATTTTAACTGACAATTGCGCAGTCATGCAACGCTGCACCCAAATGAAATGTAGATCCTTTTTTTCCCCATAAATTGAGCTTTCTTTCGGTGGTATTTGATCACCTGTGCAGTTTTTATTTTTTGTGCTTTGAAAAAAAAAATACCGACAATTTTGAGAAAAAAAAACAATATATTTGACTTTTTGCTATTAAACATGTCCAGTTAAAAAATTAAAAAACATCAAATTTCGTAATAAATTTACACAAAAATGTATTCTGCTGCATGTCTGCTAAAAAAACAATCCCAATACAAGTAAATTAATTGGTTTACGTGAACGCTATAGCGTTTACAAATGGTGGTATATATACTGAAATTTGTTTTTTTTATTTATTTTTACTAGTAATGGCGGTGATCAGCAACTTATAGCGGGACTGTCTGACACTGGGGTGAACTGACTTGGTGTCACTGACATCCCCAGTGACACCAACACAGTGATCAGTGCTAAAAAAAAAAAAAAGCACTGACACTGTACTAATGGCACTGGGCAGGAAGGGGCTAACATCTGGGGCGATCAAAGGGTTAACTGTGTGCAGGGAGTGTGTCAGTGTGCTTCACTGTAATCACACTGCTCTGGATGGCTGTGCTGTGCACAGCCATCGAGAGCAGTGTACCTGAGTTGACAGGGAGAAGGACAGTTAGTAAACAAAACAGTCCTCCTCCCCATCGGAGATGCTCGGAAATCACTAGGCGCCGGTGAGTAATTACTGGCAGGGACCCGGTGATTGACAGCCGCGGTCGCAAATGGCGGCGCAGGTAGGACTAGCACGCCCCCCCCTACCCAGAAATGCAAAATCACGTATATATACGTGATTTTGCGCACCCGTGCCACCCTGTAGCAGCATTTCTGCTATAGGGCAGATGGGAAACGGTTAAACAATGGAAGGATTATTTTTAAATATTATTATTATTATGATAAAATAGAAATAATCCACCGATTGTTTAATACACACAATTTATTACTATTATTTATCATTAACTGTCACTATAAGTATATATATATATATTTCTAAAAAAGAGACTTGCATTGCCTTTGTATTGATGGTATAATAACTAGAGCTCCTTGCAGCACTGGTGTCCTGAGTTCAGTTTCCCACAGAATATAATATCTGTATTGTCTTCTTCAGAGGACTCTGATGATCCTTTCATAACACAAAAACATAATGATTGGTCCATTGGTCTCTACCTGCACTGGTCTTTCTGTGACTGTGATGGGGCATTAGAGTGTAAGCTCCTCTGATCCAGTGACTAATGTCTTTTTCAGTGTTCTCTGTGCAGTTCTGCTGAATATTGCAGAGCTTTATAAATGCACAGTAATATTAATGGTGTGACTATGTGGGGGTACATTCGTATGTAAGCTCCTCTGGTCCAACTGATGTAATTGGCTCAGGGTTCTATGTACAGCATTGTGGAATATGTCAGAGCCAAATAAATGTATAATAATGGTGCATGACTGCGGTTGATACATTAGAGTGTAAGCTCCAATGGTGCAGAGAATGATGAGCATGGCTCAGCAACTTTTGTACAGCGCTATGGAATATGTCATAGGTCTCTATATTTATGTTTTATATAGTGCACTGCTGTGGTGGACACATTAGAGTGTAAGCTTTTCTGTTGCAGAAACTAATGTGACTGGTTCAGTGATCTGTAGGAAATATTTCAGGAAAAGTGAGATACAGAGATTGTTTTCAGCTGAACGGCTTAGTCCAGACTTCAGTGAACGACTTGCAGAATCTCTGTGTCTGCACTTGTGTGCTCTACAGGGAACTTGTCAGGGTAGCACTTTGGGAATGTGCAAGCAGGTACGCGGTCATCTTGATTATATCCTGTGTACTTCTAACACCAGCATATTACATAGCACTTGACAGGGTAGATAGAATCATTCACCCAGTCCCCCTGAGGTAGGGGAAGGCAACCTGTCAATGAACCCTGTCCTCAATAGCTGTCATAAAAAGTCCACTTAGCAGAGGCTGGAAAACCAGAGACAGTGTGGAGGAATACATACCTGTCAGACTGGGCTTAGTCACCTATACAGACTTACACATTTGCTGCCCAGAGTCAAGTTGCATACAATTTTGTTAACTCCAGGTTAAAAGTGGAGGGGGATGGGAGGGAGGTATAATAAAAAAAAATAGATTTTGAGTGGCATTGGGCTTTAGCCGTGATGGCATTACATTATTAACAAGTGTTTACACAAATGTATAAGGAATAGCAATCAGTTTGATACCAAATATGTCTATGCCTTAATGTACAGAAAGCCAGTTGGGCATACTAAATCTTCTAGGTGATAAAGACATCCAATTCAAGTCATGTTTGGTCTTCATCAAACTGTAATTTCACTCCAATCAATAATATATGGGTTGTTGCATTGTACAATCTGGAAATATAAATACTTGGAAATAAGGAAGTGTCAGCTGAATTATCACAAAACACTTCAGCACTCCTACATCACAGTCCACAGCTTTATTCATTGGGTGGGGGTTTGCTTAGCGACACCTTCTGGTAGATCATCAAAAAGCTGCAGCACTTGGCAGCTGCAGCTCTGGTTTTCCACTGGAACCATGCCATAGTCAATTCTGAGGGCCAGTGACTCTGTCAGTATCAGGGGGGAGTGACCATTTGGAAACTCGGACACTGCCCGAGGACCCGAGGTCAGTAGGTGGCCCTATGAGATGACCCTGGTACCTTTTTCATAGGCATTTGGGCAAGGACACAGGGGCCCCTTGATCCCCTATTGCCCGGGGCTCCATGAGTTGTCAGTCCACCCCTGGTCAGAATCAAACGTCCTCTGAAGTGAATTGGACTCTGCAGGGGAATCAAGAATAGTACCTTTCATTTTTAATACCATTAGTATTTTATTGCTGCCATTATCTGTTTTGTAGTGCCTTTTTTTTCTGTAAATATTTTTCTGCATCATTGTATTCCTGTCATCCAAACAGAATTGAAAAATTGTTAAAGCCTAATTTTAGTCAATAATAATAAAACATCAACACAAGGGACAATGCTTACTTTCAATGTGAAGTGTCCCTCGTGCTGCTGGCTGATCTGTTACGTGAACACTGAAGTCCTCTACCCCCCCTCACTTCTGGTGCTGCAGCAGTTAATATGAGGGCTGGACCTGTGACAGTACCCATCAAGAGGCTCTTTTTGCCCCTCCTCCATTTATAGAAGCTGTACCTTAGCTCCCATCAGTAAAAAGCACCCTCTGAATGGAGGCAGAAGACCTTTCATTCATCTACTTATTGAAGACTGGTGGTGGTGCTGCGCTATCTCTAGGTGATAAATAAACTCATGGGATGTTAATACCCCACACAGTGTACAAACTTGTAAATAAATATACATAAACCAAAAATTATTGAATAGAATGCACATGAAAACATCCAAATTGTGGATAATAAACTAATTAGTCTTCAATTTGTCATTTTACCATCAGGTATATGGTAAGGTGCTAGCAGCTTTTTAGTGTAAACTAATAGGGGACCTAGAGCGCGGGAGGACCATACAGATATAATTCATCTACTTAGGTCGCATTTCATATATGGAAGCTGTAGTACAGCTTCTGTGAATGGAGGAGGGGACTGAAAGGGTAAACGTAGTCTGCACTCTTGATGATTGCAGCTCACTGGTCCATTTCCCGAATCAACCCTCCGCAGAATCGAAATATTGACTGCAGGGGTAGTTTGGGTCATATTGAATGTAGTACTGTCCCTTGTGCTGCTTTTTAAAAAATATTTTTGACTATGCTCAAGCTTTAAGGTGAATCTCTAAATGCTCTAAATAAGAAATTAAAGAATTCCTGTCGCTTTGAAGACAGCTACCATATTTTAGCACTGTTATATTCCTGTATGGCGGCGAGTGTCGCAGACATTTCTTAGAAGTCAGAATTGCTATAGCAGATTTTTTTGAACAGTGCATGTTTCTGTTCAAACACATGGCGACGGCTGTCATTTGGTGTAAAAAGTTATCTGCGGAGTTAACCAACCCTAGTGACAGTTGCTCTTAGTCGGCACTTAGATCATTGTCCTGCGAACTGGAAAATTCACAGGGTAAGGCTGAGAGTGCAATAGTCGCATCCTGACAGCTACAATGGGAGTTAAGCCTGCCACCAGCACATTCTGTTGTCAACGGTGGAATCTGGGACTGCTGACATCACATTCTGGTGGCAGCAGTGGGATCTAAGACTGCTGCTGTCACACTTCTCCCCCTGCTTCTATAACTGCTTCACTGCCTCTCCCAGAAGTCTGCACAGTGCTTGTAGTCAATTACAGGCAGCTTCAGGAATTTCCTGCACTAGATGTTTCAGAATTGATGAAAAACATTCAAGGATTCTGCGCGTCTAATGGTATGCTGGAGAGGACAGTGTACCAACACTGAGACTTGGGGTTAAACTTTTTTTCAGCAAGTGTAATGACATGAGCTATGTCTGTACCTACAGCAGCAAAGCTGGTAAGAATGACCACTAAAAACCTAAAAATATATGTGGCTGACTTAAAAGGTGGTTTGTTTTCCTGCACCAAAATATGTATTTCCCTTAAACATCAATATAAAATCTTTTGCCAGATTAAAGCGGAGCTCCACCCAAAAAGGGAAGTTCCGCTTTAAGGACTGCTCCCCATTAAGGATTGGCACCTTTGGGAATCGGGGGGGGGGGGAGCGGGTACCCGAATTTGACAGGTACCTGCTCCCACTTCCACTGTGTTCGTCTACAGGTAGGCAACCTGCTCCCATGCCTCTGCAAGTCCACTGTGTCAGTTTTGTAATAGGCAATCGGGCCTCATGGGAAATGTAGTTCCACAACAGCTAGAGAGCCACGGCCTACCCCTCGGTCTAGGCGATCGGAAACGGAAGGTGTCCTCCCTCCCTGTAGTCTTTTGGGACACGTGACAGGTCCCAGCAGACTACAGGACCATTCATGAAGCGCAACGCTACTCGTACATGCGCAGTGGGTGCCCGGATGTGAAGCCGCAAGCTGTCACAGCCATGTGACCGCACTAAGAGATGCCGGCCTCCTGGAATACAGGATGGCCGGGAAATTAGCTGCGGGGGACACACCACGGGTCCGAGGGACAGGTAAGTGGCTGTTTTTTAAAGTCAGCAGCTACAGTTTTTGACAGGGTGAGTGGAACTCTGCTTTAAGTATTTATGTAGATCCATGAGTGTCCAACCTGCAGCCCAAGATGGCTGTGAATGTGGCCCAACACAAAATCATAAACTTACTTTATTTAGATTTTTGGGGATTTTTTTTTTTTAATGCATTTACACTTAGCGAACACATGCAGCCATAGAAAAATTTGACATTGTCTCTTTACTGGACTTTTATAAGTTTCATCTTGCCAAAGAAAAATATTGCACTCTTCACAATCACGCCTTATTCAAATCATCACTTTTCAGCAGCACCTATATTTGTGAGCAACTGTTTTCAAAGATAAAGCACATAAAGGGCAACATTAGAATGAAAATTTCTGGTGAGCTACACATTAACATACTGAGCATACATGAGCATATTACTTTGCTTCTACATCCATCGAACCATATATTGATGTGTTAGTTTCCCAAAAACAGTAGTACATAGGTACATTATCTATATTTATTTATTTCAGGTACGTATATAGCGCTGTCAATTTACACAGCACTTTACATATATATATATATATATTGTACATTCACAGCAGTCCCTAACACTCAAGGGGTGTACAATCTAAGGTCCCTAACTCACATTCATACATATACTATGGACAATTTAGACAGGATCCAATTAACCTACCTGCATGTCTTTGGAGTGTGGGAGGAAACCCACG